TGTCTATTTGCATTATATTTTCATTTTCTCCTTGCCTCCTTTTTGTTTATGTGGGCTTTTGCATTTAGCACTCTTCCAAATTTTCGGTTTTGATTTCCTGTTATAGAATTGCTGTTACACTCCCTATTACACCTATTATAAAGTTGACACACGTCTCCTTGCTTTTAATATCAGTGAGGGATCATGATTCACCAACAATCAATAAAATATTAGATGAGTGGATAAGTTTCATTTGAATACGAGGTGTAATAAAAAGTGCAACACCAATATGTGTGATATGAAATGCAAAGTCCATTTTTGACTGCCAAATATCAGATACTACTGTTCATGAGTTGGCTCCAGAGTTTATTCTTGCTATCTCTTGAAAGTGTTGCTCTCTTTTTATTGTTTCAGCCATATCTTCACGAATCTCGGCATCAACATGCTATGAGAAGAGCCAGGGGTTCTGGTGGTCGTTTCCTTAATACCAAAAAGCTCGAAAACAATGAATCAAGATCGTCCAAATCTGCATCAAAGGAGCAGACAAAGTGTGGGGATGCTGTGCCAACACAATCTGGCAACTCATCAGGTTCTGAGCATCTATCAACTGACTGTAATGGATATTCTGATCAGTTGCGAGAGAAAGAGCAGATGCTTTCAAATGGCAATGGCCGTGGTATTTCATCATTTTATTATCAACAATCCAGTGGCAGTGAGCGAGGAAGACAGCATTTCAATCAGGAGAGTTGGAGCTTGCTGGTGAACCAAGCCCCACGTGGGGCTGCTTCTAGCAATTAAGAAGCTTCTCCTTCAGGGTATGGAAGTGTCTCCGGCGCTGTCATGTCTGTTGAGGTGGTCATGAAGACATCTCATCCATGATGGTTGACAGTGGAGGTGCTGACCCATCTTACCCACTGAAGGATCAATCTCTGCAGCATGAAAATGCTCAGGCAATTCATTCTTGGCTTGGTTACTTGTCTGTACGGAGGGGATGATTGGAGGAACAAAGAACAGATGGGGAGCGTGCTATAGCTTTCAGTTCTCCATCAGTTTCCGTTTTCTCCCTTCTTTTCCCTCTTCCATCCATGTAAATTTAACAACATCAACGGTAGGAGTAATCTTGGATTTGGCATCTTAAACATTGAATTCTGTCATGAATGCTCAGTTGTGTGAGTCTTGGTTGTTTGTACCAATGCTTTGACTTAGATTCTTGCTTATTCTTTCAACAGCGCAAAGAAACACACGCACACAGAATCTAAGGTAATTTTACCAGTTTACCCAAAAGGCAATTGCTGACTTTTGGTAAACTCACGCACTCAGATTCTTGCTTATGGAATTTGGGATTTGTTGTTACACATCAGCTTTCGGTTTATTGTCTTTGTGGAGTTCTGAGCATGCAATCCTTACACTTGTAACACCTGCAGGCTGCTGGATTTGTCACAGCTTTGTTCAGTATGTTTTCTTGAACTGTCCTTGTAAGACTGGATTCTGAAGGATAGCATCGTTATTAATCACTAGCTACCAATGAATGCCCATTGCCTGGTTCTTTTAACAGTAATTTTCTTAGGGTAAAACCCAAAAAAACTCACTTGTGGTTAAGCAAAGATGTAGAAAAGCTCTCCGTGATTTAAAAATATGCAATTTGACACTTCATGGTTTAAATGAAATTGAAAAGACAATGGAAATTATCAAAATTAACATGTTTGAAGCACATGCGTTTGTTTTGCAACTAGTAGTACCGGAAAACAGTTTTTTATAATTAATTTTCATTTAATATACCTATTCTACCCTTCACCAAAAAGCCCTATTGGTTAACTCATCATACAGAAAAGTCTTCTATGGTTTTGAAACATATAAGTTGGATTTAATTCAAAAATTTCAGAAAATATATTGAAAAGAGAGAGAAGCTTCCTGAGAGAAATCGACCGTCAGTCGTATGCACACTACTTTTGCGTATGGTAAAAGTTTTAAATTTGAATTTTTGCTATTATAATATTATTTAAGAAGGTCTTTTTTTTTTTTTTTAAGAATTTCAATATTTTTTCTTTGTACAAAGTGAAGGAAAATTTTGCAAAATAATTACTTATATCTTTTCAAGCTCTCGGTGGGCAGCAGCACTAGATTCTACGATACCAGTACAAGATTTGTGAGTGTTTGCAAAAAGAAAAAGTAAAAATTATTAAAATTGAAAAAGCCATCAAAAGGGATGTTGCACTTTACATGTACAATGGATGATTGTTTGGGGGGGGGGGGTTCGTGATTATGGTATTATCCCATGTACAAATATTAATCAAATCAGAACAACTGTTTTATGTATGAAAGAGATGAATATTATATTTTTTGAAATCATATGAGGTTTTCTGCATTTTACCCTTACATATATTAGGGTATTTTTGTCATTTCGTCTACCCATGTTAGTTTTGACGATTTCAGTCAAGTTTTCAATTTAGTTAAAGTCAAGAGTTTCGAATTGTATGTTTTGAAACACGGAGAGCTTTCCTGTATATTCGCTTAGCCACATATGACTTTTTTGGTTTTAATCCATTTTCTTATTGCAAGGCACGTTTATTTTTAAAGTAAGAAAAGGAAAATCATTCAAACATCTCTTATATTTTATTAAATGAATTTTTTCGTCATTTACTTTTAAAATATTAATTTTATGCCCCTTATAAATTCAAATTAGTAAATTTAGTCTCAACTTAGGTTTTCGATCACTTTTTATCTAGAATTCATTATGTGAATCAAACATACTTATTTTTCAGAGGCAAAAAGATGAGGTATCATTTATAGTTAAATAAATGAGAATCCATGTTCGTTTTTTCACTTTAAGTGGGACTTGATTCAAACTATATTTATTTTTATCATAAGAAAGTAAGATTTGAGCCAATCTGTATTCATTTTTGTTTCTAAATGTGTGGGATCTGATATTTTGTACTTAAAAAATGATCACATGTGAAACACATAGTGATTTCGGACTAAAAGGTGGTCAAAAATCTATGTTGGGACTAAATTTTATCGATTTGAATTTGTAAAGACGTAAAGTTAATATTTCAAAAGTGAAGAATCAAAAAATTTATTTAACGAAATATGACGGACATTTTGAGTCTAATAAGAAGGAAAAATTGCTAAATTAGTCCCTAACCTTTTTTATTAGTATCATTTGGTCTCTATCTTTTGATTTTATCCAATTTAGTATCTAAACTTATTTTTCATTTTCAATTAAGGAGTGCTGTAGCGGTGCCACCAAAAAATTGAACCTGACCCCTAATTGACGACAAAAGAGGGGTATTTTTGGAACATCATTGACAGGTCGGTAATTAAATGTGTAATCCGATAAATTACACACCAAAATCCTTCAGACAAAATAAGGTAAAAAAATCAAACTTGCAGAAGAAAAAAGCAAAAGGTTTTTTAAACACAAAAGATTTTGGGCAAATGATTGTAGTGAGATAAAGAATAAAGCAGTACATGGTGTTGAGACTCAAATGATGGAAGAAATAGGCTGGAAAATGCACAAGCAAGACAATGTTAAAGAAGGGGCATCTAGCAGGTGTGGTAAGTGAAATCACTTAAATATGAAAATTTTTTGTATGAATCAATAGTTTAAACTTAATTAGGTTAGTAGAGAGTTTGTGAAAATGTCTTACCTCTAAGTGGATGTATTATAATGAAGCAATAGGATGAAGTCAAATTTTTTTGTGGGGGCAAGGACCATTGGACCACTATTCTGGTTGTTTGTTTTTATAAGGGGTTCATGTGATCCCTGGATCTAAAATAAGTTAGGGTTGTTGCGTTCATGTTTCTGAAAAGGTAGACAATGATAATTCAGATTTCATGTGTTGCATAAATTAAATAGTGACTGATGTTATTTTATGAAAAAATAAACAGACGAGGACTTGGATGCATTCAATCTACATATTTACTATGGTGGGGGCATATGTCAAAGAACCAGAAGAAAAATATTTGGGGGCAGTATGGAGATTTTTGAGGAGGTTCTAGCCATGAGAGTGAATATCGCTGCTGTGATGTTATTCTGTGAATTTCTTGAGTGACATAAACATGCAAAATACATGTACAGAATTCCAATTTGAGATGGCAAATTAAGACTTAGTCAAATAGACGTTGAGGATGATGTCATAGCTATGGCTTGTGTAGGGAAGTAAAATGGGTATGCAAAAGTATACGTGGTTCATGACTTCCATATTAGATTTGTTGATGGTAGTGAACAGTGCTTTGGGGTTGAAAATGAATCTGTAAAAGAAAATGATGATTTGTTGTATGTGGATATCATATTCGATGACTTCTTAAGTGGGATTGTAGAAGTGCTAGTTCACGCAATTGTAAAAGAAGATATAAGAGAAATGGAAAATAATAAGTGAAAAGCTGCTGCGTTTGAAGGAAGAAAATGGAGGAAGAGGAGGGTAAGAATGGTGCACGGTCAAACACAATTGAGGATTGTGAAAGTTTTCATGATAGCGACTATGACTTTAGTAAGGATGATGATGATGCAATTTACAAGAATTGTATTCCTACTGTTGATAGGGCACTGGAGCAGCAAATTAGCAATCTACAAGCTACTGGTGAAGGTGAAGGAGCAAGTAAAAGTGCAGCTGATGAGAAGTGTAAAATGACAGCTGATATGAAGGGCAAAAATGCAGCTGATGTGAAGGGTAAGAATGCAGTTGGTATTAAAGGCAAAGGGGCAAGTGAAAAGCTGCTATTCAAGATAGTGCTTATGTTGATTTCAGCATTTATGCTGGAGAACAAATACCTATCAATGAAGAGTCAGATTTCGTGAACACAAAGGAGTTCAATGGCAACTATTATTCCTCGGATGAAGATACTTTAGTAAAGAAACCACAGTATGTAAGATTTAGACCACAAAGGGACATGAAGGATCCAAAGTTTTTTGTGGGTCTACTTTTTGATAACAAGAAACTATTCAAGATAACAGTGAAACATTATTCTGTTAAGTGAGGCAAGGAGCATAAATGGGCCAAGAATGACAAGAATAGAATTAGGACAAGTTGCAAGAATAAAAAGTGTGCATGGTTCACTTATACAGCTAAGGAGCTGGATTGTGAGGCTTTTGTAATCAGGACCATGGGGCCAGAACATGCATGTGGTCGAACTTTTTATCACAAGCATGCCAACTCAGGATTCTTAGCTAGATATTATATGGAGTTTTTGAGATTGAATAGAAAGGTTATATGGTCTGTATTTAAGGAAAAGATTCATCAAGAGTTGAATGTGCGTATTACAAAGGAGTAAGCATACAAGACATTCAGGAAAGCCAAGATTTTGATTCAAGGCAACGACAAGCGGCAATATACAAGATTGTAGGACTATTGTGATGAATTATTAGATCAAATCCAGATTCTACAGTTTATATAGAGGTAGAGGTTGACGAGATAAGTGGGAAGGAAAGATTCCAAAGACTTTATATTTGCTTTGCAGCCTTGAAAAAAGGTTTAAAGGCTAGGTGTAGATTAGTACTTGATGTTGATAGTTGCCATCTAAAAGGACCATATTCTGGAGTACTTTTGATAGCTGTAGCGATAGATGCAAATAACTACATTTATCCTATTGCCTATGCAGTTGTTGAGGTGGAGAACAAGAGCTCTTGGAAGTGGTTATTAACTTTTTGAAATACGATCTTAGCATCCATGAACAAAAAACTAGACATTTATCAATGACCAGTAAAAGGTACATCATATGTCTTTCTTCAATCTTCATTAGAAATCACATGTGTTTCAATAATTTTATTTATGTTAAGTGACAGGGATTGGGTTTAGCAATCCAAGAAATTCTGCCAGGTGAGGAGCACAAGCACTCTGTTAGGCACCTACACAATAACTTCAAGAATCTGCATCCAGGTGAGACATTAAAGGGCATGTTTTGGGCTTGTGCCAGATCTACATCTATGAATAAATTTGAGAGTGAAATGGATGCATTGAGAAAGTATGATGAACAAGCTCACAAATGATTGCTTAACAATACAACCTTACACCACTGGTCAAGATCACATTTTAGATCCTCGTCGAAATGTGACATTCTCCTTAATAACTTGTGTGAAAGTTTCAATTCTATCATATTGGATGCTAGAGAAAAATCCATTATTGGTATGCTTGAGAACATTAGGATATACCTTATGGAAAGATTAAGGACAAAGAGAAAATGAATGAGGAAAAGAATGATGAAATCTATCCAACAATTGTAAAAAAACTTGAAAAAACAAAAGATGATGCAAGAGCAAATATTGCAAGATGGTCTGATGTTGATAAATTTGAGGTTATACACATGTATAGAGGTACCTCTATTGTAGATTTAAAACGGCAGGCATGCACTTGTAGGAGATGGGAAGTTACTGGCATACCATGGTCACATGCTTTATGTTGCATTCCTTTGACTAAAAATGAGCCAGAAAAATTTATGCATCCATGTTACACAAGAGCTACATATCTGATGGTTTATGAGCCAACTATTGGTCCAATCAATGGACCTAACAATTGGAAGAAATTTAACAAAACCCCCTTGAGTGCACCAAAGAAGGTCAAACTTCCTGGTAGGCTTAAGAAAACACGAAGGAGAGAGCCAGATGAGCCAAGGATTGATTCAAAGGGATGTATATGATTGTTTAGGAAGGAAATTATGCAAATGACTTGCACTAACTGCAAGCAAAAGAGACACACCAAGAGAAAATGCCCTAAGATCATTGGAGTAGAAAATGCAAAATGCAAGGGAAGGGGACCAGCTTTCAACACCAATAGGTGCAAAACATGCAAGATTCTTGATCATAATGTCAGAACTTGTCCATTAGCAGGCCAAAACGCTCAGGACAATGCTAATAAAGCTATTGGTATGACTGTTGTTCATTAATTGTCCTTACATTGCTCTTGAGGACAACTAACCTTTTTTTAATTGCAGCTGATAGTGAGTTTAGAGACACCAATAGGCCCTTACAAAATGAGACAATGGAAGCTTCAAATTCATGTATGAAGTTTGTTCATATTTATATCTTATTTTTTTCTACTATTTCACATCTTGACTAGTTATCCTTGTACGCGCTACTTGGTATGACTGTTGGAAAAGATGTACATGACCATATTACTGGAATGGCTGAGGAAATTGAAGTGCAAGCTACTGCTCCAAAAGCAAGCTCTCAGAAAGTGGGTAGGATTGCTTGCTGTTGGTTTTGTCATGTTCCAAGACACACCAAAAAATCTTGCCCCTATTGGAGAGCACAAGCTTGGAGAAATAGGATGGCTGGTGTGAAAAGAAGAAAACAAACAGTAAGTTTAGGAGCTGTTGGAGTGATAAATTATTTTGAACTAATTCTAAGGGCTGTTGGGAAATGACTGTTGAAAATTATTTTTGCAGGCTCATAGGCTTCTGGATGAGCTAGATGGTGCCGCTCAAGATCCACTTGAAACCTAGAAGTAGAGCCTGTTGGGACACTAGCAAAGCATATGTGCAAGCCTGTTTTGTTGTGTTTTTGAGAAATGCAGATTAGCATATTTTTTGGTTGAAACAATAGCAGTTCAAGCCTGTTTTTTCAGTAGCAGTAGCTTGTTCAAACTTGAAGTACTAGCAGCTTATCTCTATGTTCAATATTTTGGACGAAGCAGTTGCAGTTCAAGTCTATTTTGTTGTGCTTTTGAAGATTTTCAGATCTGTATATTTTTTGGTTGAAACAATTGCAATGCATCCCCTGTTTTGCCATGTTTTTGAAGAATTGTAGATTCGCATATTTTTTGGTTGAAGCAGTTGCTGTTCATTGAATTTTAGATCAGGACCATTAGGTAGCTTTTGGATTATTGTAAATTGGGCCTATTTTTGGCCCTTTTTTTTGTCAAGTGTAAGTGTTGTAATAACATCAGCTATCTTGTTTGACTTTAGAAATATCATACATGAAGCAAAAGTTCTCTAAAAAATTTTTTGACTGCTCAAATTACGGAAGCTATTAGTATGTATGCATTTCTGCCATTTCCACAAACAATCAACACCATAGATATCATACCAAAAAACTCCAACAAACTAGTTCATTTTATATTCAAATTGATCAAAATTACAACTCAAAACCTTTATCCTGCACACATAAATAACTGATATACAACAAGAAATTCTATTACAAGCATTAGTCCGCCATTCTTCAGCTCTAGTTCAACATTTTTAATTCCAGTACCCCCTGTTTTCATCTTCCATTGCACCCAGAACAACTACAATTATAATGCAGAAGCAGACACATGCCAACAAGCCATTTTCATTTTTGCATTCAATTTGCTTATCTCCATCTTCAATGCTACATTTTCACGTTCAATACTTCTAAGTTCCCTTAACAGTGAAGCCATCACATTCTTTGTCTTCTGTGGCAAGAATGGATCATACCATAAAAAAACTTACAAGAGCCACATTTTGGCATTCACAAGTGCTAATTCAGACCATACATTTAGACAAAACATTTACAAAAATTTAGAAAAATATTTACCCTATAATTTTTGCAGCCATGAAGCCTTCTTGAAGGGTTTGACTCTATCTATGAAGTTACGATTCAACATTGCTCATGGCAATTGCAACACACAATTTTGTCTCTATTGTGGTATTCATCATTCCCTTTATATAGCTGTTTCCTTGATTCTGATAAATTTGAGCTCCCATTCTTCGTACCTTGATCACTACTTGAGTTTGATGTTTCTTTGGTCCAATTTCTCCTCCAATGCATTTTGCTTGCTGTGATTTTGAACACCAGTTCCAAGAATTGGCAGATATGAACACTAGTTTCTTTGGCAGATTAAAATGAACTTTTGAACCCTAGCCCAATTTCACCGTTGCCTTTCTCTTTCAATTAATTTGGTGTGTAATTTATCGAATTACACATTTAATTATCGATCCGTTAGTGATGTTCCAAAAATACCCTCTTTTGTCGGTCAATTAAGGGTCAGGTTTGATTTTCTTGATGGCACCGCCACAGCGCTCCTTAACTGGAAGTGAAAAATAAGTTTAGATACTAAATTGGACAAAATTACAAGATAGGGATCAAATTGACACTAATAAAAAAAGGTTAGGGACTAAATTGGTGATTTTTCCTAAGAAGAAACACATTCAGAAAGAATTGTGACCCACACATGAAAACCCAAAAGGCAATCCCAAAACCAAAGTAAGTCTCGAGCCTATCTATAGTGAAATCCACAGATCCGTTTTGTTAGGCCCACAAGAAAGAGAACAAATATCATATTTCCCCACAATCACAGCTTCGTCTGCTCCAAACAATGCCCTAGGAACTTCAGTTTCATTCTTCTTCTAGTGCAGCAAACTTGAGCTGGTACTCCCTCTCTTCTTCTTAATCTTTGCATTTACAAATCTGCTTTTGATCCACTTTTCTGATTCATTCATTCTTTTATATCTGTTGTTCTTGATTTTTATAGTTGTTGGGGTTCCTGTTTGTGGTTTTAAATGAAATTTTCTGGTTCTTTTTTTTTAAATTTAAATTCTTCTCATTTATTTGAAGTTTCAAGATTTGTGGGAGGTTCATTCTTGACTAATTATATCAAACTTTTGATATCCCACTGATGAAACATTTAGTAATCTGAAAGCTGTGACTATAAATTGGTGCTCCCTTCTGGCAATCCTGATTGCTTAGGTTGAGGAACCATAGCTTCTTCCCAGGTGGATATTAGGCATTCTGAGGGATATGTTTGCTTTTTCCAAATAATCATTACAAAGATTCATTTACCTTAGCCTTAATTTTTCTTTTGATTTAGTTTCTTGTTCTCTCACTTTCCTCCTTTCTTGTTTTTTTATTTCTCTTGTATGTTTTTTTTTCCCTTTGGAAAGAAAAAGTTGACAAAGTTCAGAAAGGCTATCCCATTCCAGGGCCAGGATAGGTAGGTCCTGGCTCATTTTTCAGCTGTTTACAGTTGCTCTTCAACACTTGTGCTGTCGAGTATGCCCATTGGCCGGCAAAGCCTAGCAAAAACAGTCGGTCAGAAAATAATGGAAGCAGGGCCAAATCCCAATGTGCAAGCTGCCTCTGGTGGCTCCTTATCTTCCGGCCTAATGCCAGAAGGAATGCGAGGAAATGATACAAAGAAGCCTGCAATGGTAAAATTTCCTGAAAGAGCAGATGGAGAAAACATGACGGGACAAGTTCATCATAAGGGTCCACTGCGATAAGCAGATCACGGGTGGGTACACTCACGGAGAAGGGAAACATTAAGTGAGGTGAAACAGTTGCGTATGGTATGATTACAGTCGAGCTGCTAACTTGGATTGGACTAATTGTGCTCACCATGCTTGAGGGGACGAAAGTTGATAAGGATTTATGTTACAGAGAATAATTACTTCTATAATACAGAGAGACAGCAAAAGTAAATACTATTCTTTAAACCATTTTTACAAATAAAATCTTTCGTAGTGTTGAAGGCAATTAGCATGTAAAGCTTGTACATTAGATGAAATCCAACGTTAATATCACACAGAGAATTTACTCAAAATAAATCAACTTTTTTATGGGTGTGAAAGATGAAATTTTTGTTATAAAAAGAAATTTCAGAATTTGAAAAATCCGCAAAGTTCAGAGCTTCAATTACTTCATTTTTCTCATGCTTTACATGAATAGGAACAAATAAATAAATAAATAGATAAATATAGTTGTGAAACACAAAAAGGGAAAAAAAGAACTTGCAACTATTCTTCTCTAAATGCGTTGAATATTTCATTGATTAAATTCTATATTTTCATTGACATTTGTATGTATGTATGTATGTATGTATATACATAGTTAAAGCAAAGCAAAAAATTTAGATAAAAAAACAAGTTTAGAAAATTTAAATATGAGGGTATTATTGACAATCCTTCACCTTTAATATTATTGACACATGATCTCACAATCACTTCAAGAGTGCCAAACGATATTTTAAAAACCTCAGAAAAGCTAGGTCATATTTCGTGAAACCTTAGGGGAGGTTTCTGAATTTATCCCATAATATTTTATTTGTATTATTAACACATTTTCTAAGTTTTTTTATATTTCCAATGATTTTTTTTATTTCAAATATATTACATTATAAAAATCACGACAGTAAATATTTTAAACAATATACTATCCAAGCACACTTGTCTTTGCCACAAGTCAAGGCTTCAATTTTGGAATCATATATTTTGACTACACTGCCAGTCAACTTACTGCTTGTGTTGGTCTATACAAAATACTGACCCTAACACCCTTTTAAGCTTCCTACCTTCTTGTTTTTCAATGTTGCACTTCAAAACAGCCATGAAATTAACATAAAATCTATTGTCAAAAAGTGGTGACTCACAAATCTTAACCAACATATTATTTTTTTTTCTTTTTCTTTTCATTCATCAAATAATTCTTGGTTCTTTTCTGGTAATCCAGTCGCAAAAATATTAATTTTTAAGACTTGTCATTCAGATTCCATTTCTTTCTTGATGAAAACAGAATAAATTATTCTCGTTTTTCTTGTGGTTCCCTTGACTTAAAAGTTAATCAAAGCAGGCAACCAGGTAAATAGTTAGAATTTTTAGATGTATTCTGCCTTCAAACATCCATTCCTGTACTGCATACAAGGCAAACAAATAGCAAAGAGAAAAAAAAAATATAGCACAGAGAGAAACTCCAGATGTTCTGCAACTACAAAGCTTGCATCTCTAAACTAGTATACTCAGTCCCATTGGCAGCCCTTATCTTAATCAGTTTCTGGATTTCTAATACTTCATCCATACATCTGTACATAGCAGCAGCTCTTGATTTAGACCATCAGCTTCTAGTCTTGGTGATGATGGTTCAACAACCCCACCACATTGCAGCCCTTTGATCAGGAGGAGCTTCTGCTCCATTGGCTGATGATGTTTGATAGTCAAATTGCAGAACATGATCATTCTGTTCAAGTTTTTAAACTTGTTGATCCTTCTTCACCTCCTGCAACTCTCTGTTCTTGATTCTGGCGATGAGCTTCTGTTTTGGTTGATGATGTTGTTCATCACCCAATTGAAATAGTAATGGACTAAGATCAACAACTTCCACTTTATTTGACAATGTATTGTAACTTGCTTTTGGATTCTTGCCCTGTTACAAGATTCCAATTTGTCTATGACTAAAAATTCACATCTCTTATTAAGGAGAAATGTAACGAAAACGGTTTTTAAGGGAATTGCTACCTGCAAACTCATTTCATTGGTCTCTTTCAACAGCAAATTGAAAACCCTTTGCTTTTCATGGTAAATTGAAACCTTCTTTAACTCCTAAATGGTAAAAGTAGGTCAATTTTTTTTAGTTCAATTCAGAGAAACTCAAACTGTTTGGAAAACTACACAGTAGAATAAAGAACATACCAAATTTAATATATTGTTCTGTTCCATCAAGTGACGTAACTCCTGCGTCAACCGGAAAACCTATAAAATATTAATGCAAGAATACAAGGCCGTATTTGGATGAATAAATTTTATATACACTGACAGCATATTTATATTTGACATAAATCATATCATATTAGTACAATAATTTTTTTCCAAAAACTTTTCAGAAAATACAATCGCAACAACCTCCAAGCAAAACAACAAAGATGTACTAATGTGATATTTGGACTGCATACAAAAAAAAAAAAGAAAATCAAGAAAGCCCAACATATACCTTAAATAAAACTAGAAACAAGAAACACAAGCAAAGCCATCAAGAACAGCAGCATAGAGCATCAAGATTGCTATGAAAATAGCCCAAATGATCAACAGGACTTGTC